AACTGAACTGCCCAGAGAAGGGTATAGTTGCTAAATAGTTAAAGCTACTATACTTCCCTCTTGGACACCACTATAAATCTGTAAAGGATCTCTGTAGCCATGTCATTGTTATAGTAAGAAGTTAAAGAAAGCCTCCTTACTGTAACAATATAAAAAAGAAGGAAAAACACACACAGAAATAAGTCTATATAAAGGTTGTGAAAATAGATCAGAACAGACATAGACAAATGTGAAAGATAGATAAGACATGATCAGAATATAAAAATGATTTCAGAGTTACTAATAGAGAAAACAAACAACAAAATAAATGTAACATTAGAACAGTTATTAGAAAATAGAAGGATAGAAGAATGGAAAAGAGATGAAATAAAGCTACTAGAATTATAACTAACAGAAAAATTAGAAATAGAACTTATCAAGAAACAAGAATTAAATGATACAATTACAAATTAGTTAACAGAAATTTTAATATGAAACAAAAGAAAAAACAAAGAAAAGTACATTGTTTATACTGAAGGAGTATTATACAAAAAAAAAAAAGAACCAACATAGAAAGAATAGATATTGGCTAGGTACAAGTAGGTAATAAAGAAGACTAGTCAGAAGAGAAAACTGTATTTGGACTCAAGAGTTGGCTGTCAGCAATAATAGCAGAACTAGCAGTAATATGGACAGCAATTTTAATAATTCTAAAAAAGAAAAGTATAGAAATATATACTGATAGCATTATGGCATTAAGAAATATTAATAGAACAATTCAAAACATAAAAGATAGAAGTACTATAAAAAGGAAAAATGCAATATAGATAACAAACATTGTAGGTCTTGTTAAAAGCAAGAACATAAAGATAGAAATAGTTAAAGTTAAAAGTTATAGTGAAGATAAGTAAAATAACAGAACAAACTTTTTTGCAAAAAAAGGTGCAACTTGTGGAAATATAATATATACAGAAAGTGTCATATGTAATAGAATTAAGTACTATTTAGAGTGAAAAAATAAGAAAATCAACATACTAGCAAAACTTTTGTATAAAATAATAGTGAATGCTAGAATTGGAGTTAGTTAAAAAGAAAAAAATCCAATAAAAGCACTAGAGTCAGAAATAGAAAATATATAACACAATTGAACAAGTTTTTGAAAATAAATAAACAGAACAAAAGAAGTTTACTATATATCAAGAAAACTCAATACAAGAAGAGCTATAGCAGTTAAGTATATAATAGACAGTCTGCTAATACTTAAAGAGTTAAACAAAAGAAGGCCAGAAGTATATACAACTGCAGAGTACTAAGTATGTCAAGTTGGAGAAAAAAAATGCAAGTACATCTAGCAAGTTGTAGTGAACAAAGAAGTTTATAAAAATGGATTCAAAAAGTTGTAACAGTAATAGCATAGAATGAGCTCAAAGAAGAAGAGAAAAACAGAATTCTATCACAAATCCTATATGAAACACTATTTGGAAAATCAGAAGCTGAAGAAATCAAAAACAGAGAAGTGCTGATAAAAGAACTCATAAAGATAATAGTAGAAAAAATACTCAAATGATTCTTAAGCAAGCAAGCAACACAGAAATGCATGAATATAATAATGAAAATGGTATAGAACACCTTCTATAGCCAAGTATAAAGAGTCCAATATAGGAAAACACTGAACTAGAAAAAGAAAACTAATATAACAAACAAGATAAAAAAAGATGCTCATATAAAAGAAAAAATGAGTAAAGAGAAAAGAAAAGATAAACAAATAAAAGAAGAAAAAAAAAAAATAGAAAAAGCAAACCAAATGAAAAAAAAAGTCTTGAAGACAATTAATATGCTTGTTACAGAAAGATAAAGGCCCTTTTAGTATGGCTTTAAGTAGTTAGATGAGCAGTCTATCTCTAATTGAGATAGTGCAACAGGTTGTACTTAGGTACTATAAGGGTGGCTGATGCTAAACTTAGGTATTGAGAAATTTTATGCAATTGTATATATATATAGTTTCAAGAATCTTAATAAAGTACTAGCATAACTGTTTAAGGTTAAAAAAAAAAAAAAATAACTGCTAATAACTATGGCTTTAGCATAAGCAAAAAAAAAAAAAAATCTATTTAAAAAGTTTGCCTAAAGGTGTGGTGACTTAGTAAAGTGAATAAGTTGTCAACCCTCAAGTGGTAAGTTGTAAGTTCAAAACTTATGAATGGCAAAAATTTGGATAACCACCTATGTAATATTCATATTACAGCAACTGTTCCTAATAATTGAATTAGAATATCTGTAATTATAGTTATACTAGTATGACTGGCAGATCTGTGTAACTAGTTATATAGAGAAATGCAAACTGGCATTAGGTAGTACAAACCCAAAATAAGTCCTTGTGGCTGTGTAAATCTGTAGAAATTAGAAAACAAGAAGCTTATTTGAAAAGAACTACTATATGCTACTGACTATAGTACTCAGGATACTATTCTTTTAACTATCGATTTTATTGAATAGTACCCACCTGGGTACTAATTACAGATAGCAGATATAAATACAAGGGGGTACTTTGTAGTAGAGGTACTTTACAATGATAATACATTAATTAGTTAATATAGTTCGATATTATTATACTGCAGCATATAAAGTTTACTTTTAAAAAAATAAAGAATATGGTATCACTAGATAACAGTATGTTTAAATAAAATTTTTTCTTTTTTTATTTACTATATTTCTTTATACTATGGTATGTGAAAATAAGGATCATAGCCAGATTCAAATTATTTAAAAAAAAAGGCAACAGTAAAATGTTTGCAAGAAACTTGCAATCATTACATTTCTTGAAAAGCACTCTAGTAATAGTGTTCATGCAACTGCTATACATTTCAATATAGAACCAAAGCAAGTTAGAGATTGGCAAAGTAAAAAAAAAATTTAATACATGTTTCACCTTATATTAGAAGTTAAATAACAGAAAACCACCAAAGTATCCTGAATTAGAAAATAAAATTTATGGTTGGATAAAAGATTTGCTAAGTGCATTTAAACCTGTAACACAATCAATGATTCAACTTAAAGCAAAAGCATTATTAAAAAGATCTTCTTATGCTACATTATATTCTAATATTTCTAAAGCCAAATTTTCAGATAAATGGGTTGATGGCTTTATGACTTGTTACAAATTAAGTAATAGACATAGAACAACTGTAGCCCAAAAACTTTCAGAAGATTTACAATCTGCATTACAGGAATTTTTAAGTTTGATTGTATATCATAGAATTTAATTTGATTATCTGCTTGCCTTAATAAGTAATATAGATGAGGTTCCTATGTCATTTGATTTTTTCACCAATGTAACAATTGATGATTGTAGTACAAATATGGTTTTATTAAGAACCTCTGATTATGAAAAATCAAATTTTACTGTTGTGCTTGCTTGTATGGCAGATGGAACTAAACTTCTATCTGTTATTATTTTTAAACTTATGAATGTTTCAGGGCAAACATTTTCTGCAAGTGTAATTATTTATGCAAATTTTAATAGATAGATGAATTCAAATAAAATGCTATAGTGGATAGAGAATATATAGAATTATAGAGGAAGGACAGATCTGCACTTACCTTTAGTTTTAGATTCATTTAAAGAACATATAAAAGATACTGTTAAGCATTGATTTTTTTTAAAAAATACTAATTTAGTCATAATTCCAGGAGGTTGTACTTCAAAATTACAACTGTCAGATGTGACTATAAATAAATCATTTAAGGCAAAGGTACTTTAATAAATTTATTTATTTATTATTATTATATGAGTTATGCTAAATTAAAACCTAGAACTAAATATCGATATATTTAGTTTCAGGTTTTAATTTGGCAAAAATAATATTTAAATAAATAATTTAATAAATTTTATTTTAAATGCAGTATTATTATAATGATTGGTTAGATAATGGTATTTTAACTTATACTAATACAGGTCATATTTAACATTCTGCATATAATTTGGTTACTTAATGAATACTTTAGGCATGGAATAATATTGATTCTAACTTTATATAAAAAGCTTTCAAGTGTTGTGGTATATTTAACTCACGAAATGGCATAGAAGATAGCTTAATTTTTAATTAAGATAGACTTGGTCAATGTACAAACTTACATAACTATATATATATGCAAAATGAGTTTGAAAACTCTAGTAAAAGTTTGGATTCAAATATTGCTAAAGGCTTATACAAATATTGTTGAAGGCTCTAATACAAATACTGGTAAAGGCTCTAATACAAATACTAGTGAAAGCTCAAATATAAATATTAGTGAAGGTTTATAAAATATAATTTAGAGTTTATAAGTTATCAATTAATAATATAAAGTTTTTGCTTTGAAAATAGCCTTATAGCATATAGTAATTACTATGTGCCATTAGGTTATTTTCAAGACAAAAATTCTATATAAATATAGTATTAACTAATTTATAAGTTTTTAATTCAGTAGAGATAATTAATTTTATGAGTAAAAATGATACTGACAATGAAGCTGAAGCTGATCCTATTCATAAAGCTAAAGCTGATCCTATTTATAAATATAAAGCTGATTTTGATAATGATAATGAAGCTACTTTTAATAGTAGAAGTGAAGATGATTATTATAAAGCAGAAAAAATTAATTATATTAATAATTGGATATAATCTTATAAATCTTGAAACCCAAAAGTAAAGTATTATATATATTAAATAATGCAAGTTTTTTTTTTTAAATTTTTAATCAGTTTTTTAATATAACTTTAATAAATTTATTTGGTTATATTTGAAATTTAAGGTAAAAGCCTAAAGGTAAGTATGCTAAGTTTTTTTTTATATTTTTTTAATGTAACTTTATTAAATTTATTGATTATGTTGTTGCATTTGAAATTTAAAGCTGAAGACTAAAGGTTATATTAAAACAATAATGAAACAATTGCAGTTTAAATACTGTAATATGAAATTTGCATTAAAAATTTTTCAAAAAATTAAAAAAAAAATGAAAAAATAGTGGATTATATAGCAAAAATAAATTAAACTTTTTTTTTACTTGCATGTTAATTGCAATTTTTTTTTTACTTTTATGTAAATTTTAATTTTCTTTATATATAAGATGTTAATTTGTAATTAGCATTATATAAATAAATAGAAAAATAGTTCAAATGCTATCTAAATAGTTTATTAAAGTCTATCATAGTAAATTAGTAACAAATATTTTATTAATTGCATTTTCTTTTTCCAAACTTGTTAAATAAAAGCCTTCATAAAATTCTAGTATGTACTTAATTTTTATAATAAGGTTGCTAAAAATACAAGTCAAAATTTCTTTAACTAGATATCAAATACTAGTAGATCCATTTATGCTAAAACATTAAGGCTGTTTGAATTTGAAACTTCATTTAATGTTATTTTTTTATGTTTGTCCAAGGAGAACAAAAAAAAATCAAACAAACATTAAAATTAAACAAAGTTTAGTAGGTTCAAGTGAACCTAAATTAGGTTTACGTAAACCTAAAATAGGTTATGCTCATTTTTGTTTGTCTAGCTTTCTGATCTGTCTTAAATTTTTCTGCAATACTTTAATTGTTTAATTTTTGAGAAGAACTTTGAAGGTATAAGAGAAAATAATATTAAATAAAGTTTTAAATTTAAACAGCCTAAGTTGAAATTTTTCTTTATTTTAACTTGTCTATCTTTGAATTGTTATTGTATATTAGTTTATATATCAGATACTATTGCTGAATTCTATTATATTCTATGCATTTATATAACTAAGATCTCATTACTAATACCTGGTCTTATTTAATTTTCTAAATCTTGATCTCATGATTAGTATCTGAGTCTTTTTAATAGGAAATATTATATTTGGGAGGTACTATAGTCAGTGGTGTACAGTAAGTAAAAAGATAATATAGATCTTTGATAGTACTATTGTAAAGACTAGATCTAGAAAACAAATACTAATATGAAGTATCTAAACAGACAAAAACCTTTAAGTAGAAGGGTATCACCAATCAGGCTGCCAGAAGTCCAACTAAAAGAACTAGAGAAAAAGAATATTGAGCTGATCTAATATACTAATGAACTAGTTGTAGTTCTACCAGACTATCTGAATTAGGAGTTTAAAGAAAAAACAAAGATATACTAAAAGTATTAGGGATATGCTGTAAAGTAAGTGCTAAGGTCTGAATAAACTCTGCAAAGGTAAGTCTTATTAATATTCTATAGAGTAGATAGGTAGTTAACAGAGAGGCTTTCGGAGTCTTATAGTCAGATGATGTGCTCTGAAATTGAGTAATAGCTTAACAGATATACAAAAGAGAAACAAAATGTTAAATTAAATGACACTTAGATATACAGAAACTGGAGTAGTTAATTGTCTAAATACAGTATAGAAACCAGAGTTTTTAATTAGATAGTTTTTTAGCAGATTATAGATATGGCAGCTAGTGTAGAACCCTCAGATAAACTACTTAAATAGGTAATCAAAAGTTATATATATGGCTAGTTGTATACTCATTTTATACAAGTAATATATAATGTATTCACTAAAAGCACAAATAAAGACATTAGCCATTATTAACATCAGTCTTAATAATAAAACAAAAAAAAAAAAGTTTATCTAAATATTTTATACTAGTTACTATATTTAATACTTCTGTTTAGATATTTTATTTTAAATTTTCAGATTATTTATGATCTAAATTTTTATTTTAATTTTAGAACTATAATTTATAAAACTATTTTTATTTTTGAGATAAAGCTCTTAAAACTTTTGTATTTCTATTTATAGCTAATCTGTTTACACTATAATCAGAATTAATACTTATAACCAGAATTAATTATTAAATCATTTTTAATTTTATAAAGTTTATCTAAATTCTAATACTTATCTTTCTAATGTCTTTTTTATTTTTCTTTATTAATTACTATTTAAAACTAATAGAATTTTTCAGATTACTAATTCAGATAATCTAATGTATTATACTTATATATTTTTTTTCTTTAATAATTTTATTAGTTTAATTGATATATATATTTTTTATATATTGTTATATAATTTATTTAACTATTTCTTTAAAAGTGTTTTATAAATTTTTATCAGTCTTACAATATTATCAAAATTTTGTATTATTTTTTTATTTAAGATTTTTAAGTAAATTTTTTTATCTCCTTAGTTTCTTAATCTTTTATATCTAATGTTCTTATTAAAGGTTTGTATTAAAACCTTATATTTTATTTTGTATTTTATAATCTTAGTATATCTTTAATATATAATATATTAATATATACAACTAAAAATACTAATAAAGATATGAGCAAGGCCTCACCTTAATACCAAAAAAAAAACTAAAACCTTATATAACATTAGTTTATTACATTTCTTTATATATATGTAATATTACACTTTATATAAATATTTTAAATTTTCAATATTAGATAAAACCAAACTTGATGTATCTAAAATTATAAATATCTAAATTTAACTAATTAATAAGAGACAGTTATTATAATACAAATATAATTTCCAAAATTTGTTATTTGTAAGAATTGAACTTTAGATCTGCTATTTGAAGATTGCCAATCTGTTCACTTTACTAGATTATCACACTTTTATTTATAATATATTTATTATTTCTTAAACTATATTCTAGCCAAATTTGTCTAGAAAATTAAATTGTATTTAGTATTTTTTAAATAAAATAATAATTTATTAATAATATAGAATATACTTTGTTTATGAAATATATTCTTAAAAATATTTTATAAATTTTATTATAAAAAATTTTTTAAAATATTAATAAACTTTTATGTATTAAAATTTTAAAGATTAGATTTAAAAATTTTTATTATTAAAAATTTTTAAGATTTTTTAAAATTTCATATGTTTTTGAAACTAAAAAAAAAATTTATATTTTATATAAGTTTAAATTTTTATAAGTAAATTGCAAAAATGTTATTAATAAAAATTATCATTCTTTATATAAACTAAAATATTGTATTAAGAACTATAGACTTAAAATTAATATTTAAAAAATTTACTAAAAATTTGTAAATAATTTTTTTGATTAAAAATTTTTTTCAAATTTGTTTATTTTTAGATTATAAGCAACATATATTTTTTTCTTATAATATAAAATTAAATAATACTATAATATAATTCTTATTTTCAAATATTATCAAATAAAATTTTATTTAAATATTTTAAAATTTTAAAAAAATAGATCTTAAGTATATTTTTAATAATTTATTAAACAAATTTGCTTGAAAAAGCTTACAGATTAAGTAATAGTATTTTCTGTATAAAACTTATTAATTAAATCTAGATATTAATTAGATGCTAGTATAACTATTCAGTTAAATACAAAAGGTTATTAATAAAATAGCTTGCTAAGGATAGTGATCCTAGTATAGTAATTGGGTTGTTATTCTTCAAGTGATAGGTTTAAGATTCAAATCCCATTTACAATAAAATTTAAAAATTAATCTGTATTATGAAAACTGTCTCCTGTTAATCAGTTAACCTTATACAGCTATAATTCAAGTACACCAAGTTGGATCCTACTCGTCATTAGGAGCTCAGAGCATCTATGCAAACTGTAATATTATATAGTACATATATATAGAGAAATATTAATAACTGTTATTATATAAGACTTTAATGTAAATTCATAATAAGACCATCAAGTACAAAAGACTAAAAAACCAAGAAGATGGAATTCTACTTGAAAATTTCTGAGTAAAGAGATAATATAAACTTTTAATGATACTGTTAGACTAATGAAAACCTATGAAATACCTTCATAGAAACAGACAGATAAACTAGATAATAAGATATATAGAGAAGCAAATAACCAATCAGACTATCAAAATTATTAGAGAAAAAGAATACTAAAATATACTATACCAGGTTATCTGAATTAGAAATCTAAAGAATCTGTTAGTTCTAAGTTGCAGTAGTAGAGAATGATGAATAAGATGCCAAGAGAATAGGTACTAGGATTTGAATGAACTTTACAAGAGTAAAAATAGTATAATGTAGTAGTTTAAGGTTAGTTCTGACTGCAAGTATTAGGTAACTATAATGTGTTACATAAAACTAGATTAGCTGTATATAGAACACAAAAGGCTCTAGTAATGATGCTTCTGAGAATATACTGTATAAAATAAGATATGAGATCCTAAGAATATGAATAAGCATCTAAACCTTCTTGACTGACTTACATAGCGGAGATGATCTAATGATACAGTAAGGATTGCAGTACAAAGAGTTTAAATAGACAACATTTCTAGTTGGGTTGCAAATATGGCAGCTAGTATAGAACCATTGATGAACTACTTAATTAGACATCAAAAGTGTATATATAACTAGTTGTATTCTTTAATGTAAGGAGACTCCTTTGAGGCCTCGGTCATAAGTCCTTATATTCTAACTACTGAATAAAAAACCCTAACTTCAAAAAAAGCTAATTTAACACAAAATAAAATAATTTGTTTTAGAATATTTCAGAATAGAATTCAACTTAAGTTAGAATAAGTTTAAACTTTTATCTTTAAATTTGAAACAATCTGAAACAATCTAAAATAGTTATAGAACAACATGAAATGAAATGCTAGAGTAAGCCTAATTTACTATAGTGAGTTAAGAATTGGATTAACCCAACCCATTAACAACTCTATAGATATGATTGAAGTATTATACAACTTATAATTACAGATGACACTATTATAATTCTTTAAATTGCAATGAACTTTTCTTTTGCCTTTTTTTGCCTCAGAACTGGTACTAGAACTGGCTTCGTGGTTTTGTTCTTGTGTAAACATTTTGTTATACGTATATTGACCACTTTTTTTTATGTACTATACTAAAGAATTTATTAGCTATGTATTAATTCTTTAATCGTTTGACGAAACGTTACACAGACCTTTAATTTTCCAAACCAATAGAATTTATGAATGTCACAAAATGATCCACCAAAATCATCATTATAAAATTCGAGTTTATCACAAATCATTAATTATTGATGCGATAAACTCGAATTTTTAAAACCGGTTCCAACCTCTAGACAGGTATATAGTTTGTTGGGGTTTATGAAGAAATGGATGTTTATTATTGCGTTGAATCTCGTCCATGTTCCTAGTGGTGAAATTAAATGTTTGCGAAAAGAAACGGACTTTTAACAAACATCAATAACACTTTTTTTAAAATCAGATTAACACTTTTTCATATATTCGCTTTATACTTTAATACATTTTAAGCATACAAAGCGAGTTTTTTTTTACAAAAAAGTTTTAGATTTCTGCTCGATTTGCAATATAAAGTAAAAAAAAAATCGTACATGTTGAACAATCGAAACTATAAATTTGATTGAGTTTAAACCGTAACTGATTTTTTGGGCGACGTGAAGCGCAGGGTTACAACTAGTCTAAATTAAAATTTTGTGCCACTTTGTTTTCTATATGATGTTAAATGTTAAAACTAGAGTTTGGAAACGGTTTTATTTTCATATGCAAAATCAGGTTTAACCAGGTTTAACATATGAAAAATAAAACCGTTTCCAACTCTAGTTAAAACATCTTATTTTAAATATTATAACATAACTTTTTATAAACTGTTTTAGATTATCGTTATGTTAAAATAATTGAACAAAATAAAGCGATTCGCTCCAGACATCTAAACAATGCAAGCCATTCTTTACTATTGAAATATATATAAAAAGTGATAAATAATTCGATTACTACCCAGATCACTAAATTCAACAAAACTTAATGTATATGGTATTACATATCATTTTTGATTTACATAGTTGACCTACACCCTGAACATACATGTACAAGCAGGAACAAAGTTTCATCTAGTCCACAAGTAATTGATAATTCGTGAAATCAATTGCAACACATTCTTTATTCATCACACATAATATGAATTCGCTTGCAAGTTTTTTGCAATCTCAGGTTCCCATTTGTCACCATTGGCAAGAAGTTTTTCCTTGTTGTATAACAATTCTTCACGCGTTTCTGTTGCAAACTCAAAATTAGGTCCTTCAACAATTGCATCAACTGGGCAAGCCTCCTATAAATATAGGATCTAAATTACTAAATAATGCTAATTTTCTCGAGTACAAATTAATTAATACCTGACAAAGTCCACAGTAACTTGTTAATTTTACCCAAACCCGATTTTTATGATATTAGTAATGTGATTATTGACAAATATTGACATTTGAACAAATTAAAGTGAAAATAAACTTACATGCATTTTGTCATATCAATATCGTAACGTGTTGTTCGTCGACTACCGTCGTTCCTTACTTCTGCCTCAATTGTAATAGCCAACGCAGGGCAAATGGCCTCACATAATTTACAAGCTATGCACCTAAGATTTAAAATTAATTAAATTGCAATTCAAGGAAACCAAACAACAAATAGAATAGATACATTTATTTTACCTTTCTTCACCTAAAGATTTTCACTTGATAAATGATATTTCAAATAAATGCTTTTTTAAAAATAATCAAAAGCCTACCCGTAGGATATCTTCTTAGAGCATGTTCACCTCTAAACCTGGGGCTCAATGGTCCCTTTTCATAGGGATAAAAAATTGTATAAGGAGGTCTAAAAAACTGCTCTAGTACAACCCACATGCCTCTCAACATTTCAGTAAAAAAGAATAATTGTGCTGTTTTATCGAGATAAGTTGGAGGTTTTATTTTTTTGGATGATTGAACTTTTGATGTTGAATGCGTTGGCGTTGGTGGTAGATCATAATTTTTGATTTTGGTACCGGAAAAATTGCGCGAAACTTGAGACACGACTAAGAATTTTGAAAGGAATAACATCAAAAATTTCAAAATAGGCTAGACAATTATTTACACTAGTATTTCAGTTCGAGTAATTAATTACCAGATAATAAAGAAGGTGTATAAGCTCTACGAACAGAATTTTTGGCAATGCCACTAAGCCTGAACATTATTGCCATAATGTGACGAAGTTGATATCGATAGCGATATTTAATATCGCCTTAATAGTTACGATCTTTGCACGTGTAGCATAAAATCATATGATTATATGAAGTTGTAAGTACGACGTACGTCAATTTTTTACATTCGAAAATTTTAAATTATTCATTCGTATACTTGAAGGAATACACAATGAGTTTAGATAAACTCGGTATTAATCTTGGTAAAATGGGTAAAAGTTTATCCAACTTCCAGCAGGTATGCGTGCAAACTACAGAGTTTTAGGGGTTGCAAAGTTGAATGTAATCCTTCATCTTTATATTTCAATAAACATATAGTTGACACGGGAGAAACTTGGTAATGTAGAAGACATAACGGGTCTTCCGCCAGAGTATCATGATCTTGAAAGAGTAAATAAATTTAACCTTCAAAATGTTTATTTTGGATCGATAGTTATTTCATTCTTGGCTTATTATACCCTTTAATAGCGCGTTGACAACTTGGATAAGGTTCATAAGAGAATGCTCCAAGTAACACGTATTTATACGAATACATCTTATGATTATCCGGACCAAATTCGACAATCAGTTGTAGAAATTTCAAACAACCTCTTTGACCAGTTAAAAAATATTACTCAAAATTCTAATCCTGATGCTCATGACACAGAAGAATCTTTAACATCATCTCAACAAAAAAATTTACATCACGCATTAGCACGAGCCTCAAATGAGGGAGCAGCACTTCTTGATTCTGATGATACTCTTGGGACTGCCTTAAAAAAATACGGAACTTCACAAGAGCGTATTGGAGATTGTCGATATAAAATGGACTCAGAAATTTCGTTAAATTTTTACCAACCTTTCTATGCAACTTTACACACACAAATTCAAGGTGCTATGAAAGCCAGGGCTAATGTCAAGTCTGCACGCTTGTCTCTTGATGCAGCGAAAAATAGGTATAAATCTGTTCGACAAGAAAGAATAGAGGCTGCTAGATTGGAAGTTGAGCAAGCTGAAGATCAGTTCGTTGCTGCTGTTGAAGAAGCTACCACGTTGATGAAGCAAGTAATAGAGACGGTAACGCACGCGCATTTTCAAATATTTGGCATGTTATGTTTATTTTACAACGAGCTAATTTCTTTGGTTTGTTTTTTTAGCCTGAACCTCATAGAAACCTTGCACATTTAGTTAATGCACAATTGACTTTTCACCAGGAAGCATGCAAAGCGCTTAATGAAGTTGTTCAAGATATTGAAGAGATGCAATTGAAGCAGGAGTCTTTGTACAGGTAATGGTTTTATAAATTTAGGTTAAGTTTTTGATATTTAATATTACATTGTGTATTAACTTTAATCATCATGTAGACTTAGTCGCAACGATTGAAAAGAAATGTTAATATCTATTCATTGGCATCAATTATAATAGATAAATGATCAACAGGCCTTGTTTTTTTTTTTTCCTGCAACTTGCTAATTAATGACTTGCAAGTATTATAGTATTACATATAGGTTTAAATATTATCAAGATATTCGTAATGTGAACAATTTTTATTGATTTATTTAGTAATTCTTGTCTTACCAACACTTTAACAATTATTTAAATATGTTAAACGTAAATTTGTACATTAACTGCCTTAAAAATTAAATAAGCTGTTGATTAATTTTATAATTTATTATGTGAGAAAACATTTGTAAATTCATAATTCTTTCAGTGTTATTTTGAAAACTCATAACAAATCATACTAAATTAAAAGGAGAAAGTATTAGCCCATTTACACAATCGTAAAATCAAGAATTGATTCCAATAAAAGATTTCTAAAAAATATTACTTACAAAATAATCTAAGCCCTGACCTATTTCCCAAATAGACAAACCAGTACCATAATCTTCAGCTAATCTAAGGCGAGATTCAATAGACTAACAATTATTACATAGTATATGTTTAAAAAGATAAGATTTAATACATAAAAGCGCATTAATCGAACATTATTACCTTTAAGGAAGGATACCACACAATATGAGATATTCCGTTCTCTTGATACTGAAAGTAATGCTCACCCCAATTTTCATTCCACTCAATTATAGGTTTATGTTGACGTATTTTTTTAATTATTGTATTACCAGTAATATGTTCAGCACGTCCTTGATAAAAATCCATACCATACATATTCATTCCAAGTAATAATTTATCACGATTCATCATTATTGGAGTAAAAGACAATATATTATCCTCTACCCAATTAATTGGTGCATTTGGACCCGGACTAAAATAAATGGTGTTAAAAATAGTAAAGTTAGAAATGATGGTAAGAATGGTAAAATAAATGAATTAAAACATACGCTTCATGAGAAGAATAATCATATGTCATAAGAGAGAAACCATCAACGAATTGACTAAAATCATCCAATTGATCAGCCGTAAAGTGAGGTATTGAGGGCTTTCTTGGGGGTAATACTAAAATTAATTCCTGATATTGATCATGTAGTTTAGCGCCTAATCTCATTATAAAATTTCTTAAAAGTATAACGTAGCTAGCCTCAAGAACCAAGCCATCAAAACCTTGTTTTCTTAATCAGAAATAAGTAAGAATAATTCTAAAAATTAAAAATTAAAAATCTTTTTATTCCTATGTACCTGCATTCTAAACTTAAAGTATTTACAAGAGAATCAACTTCATTTAATTCGGTTATTAACATCTGATAATCTATTTGAGTCCAACCTTGAAATTGAAATCTTGGTACCACTTTAACACGACGTTGTCCATCGACTTGACTACTGATTTCTTTAATCCAATCATGATCAACATCGTGACTACCAGTAAGTTCATATTGATTTGTTGACCTAAAAAAAGTGATAGCGATAGCTTTATCAATTATCTTCATAAGTTCGGTAGTATATATGCATAAATTACCTTCGATGGATGTTGTACCAAACAGGACTTATGCTAAACATATTACGACAAAAATCAAAATTAAGCAAAAAAGAGATATAATTGAGAAAATTTATGTGTAAATTAGGTATACTTACTAGTCAAATTTGCCCTTAAAAATTTTGGCAATGTCATAACCTAAATAATTTTAAAAAAGTTAACGAAATGTTTAATGGTGCTATTTACCAATTTACGTACCACGATTATTCCAAGGAGTCACATAGGCTAAAGTTGGACCACCTTGAAAACTTTTATTTCCAGTATTTTGAGTGTTATATTTGTCGTGGGTTTCCAAGATGGATTCATACTACAGCATAACGCGTCACATTACTATGCATACATTCACAGTATATCCAAAAGTTATTAAACTACAGTATGTATTATATTATTGATACCTTTATTTGCTCTGACGAAAATGTAGCCAAAATAAGAAAACATTTGATAAAAAACCAAATAAAATTAAAATAAATTCTTGCGGTATACATGGATTTTGTATTCGTTATCTATTTAATAGCAATAATGATAACGATACGTAATAAAACTAGGAACCGGAAACCGGTATAAGTCCGGAGCCATTAATGGTCTCAGCCCCTGAAAAATCTGGTTATCATTATGTATGTCGCAGCGGGGTTTAAAATTGGCATGCACAAGATGCACATGTGCATGAAATTTTTTGGGATTTTTTTGAATTTTTTAAAAATTTATTAAGTGTGCATGTAAAATTTTTAAAAAAAGATGCACAAAATACATTTGTGCATGTAAATTTTTTTTTGAATTTTAAACACTGTCGCAGATCAAATTTTCCAGGGGGCGTTACAGACGGAAATGCCGAAACTACGTTTTGATATCTATATTATGAAAGCATCAAAATCGAAATTGGTCATCAAAGTGCATAAAAGTATGAGTTCGTCGCTTCACAGGAGTCTGGTAGAATTTGCCAACATTAACTATAAACTAGAAAAACGGAAACCGTTTTAAGTTCGAAGCTAAATCACATGAGATTTGTTGTGTTATACAAATATGCAAATGGAGATAGACAAAGTTACTTTTTTGATATTCTTATTGTGAATAAATCATCAAAAATATAATTTTTGTATCACTTTGCATAGTAATTAAGCATCCTCTGCTACACTTCAAACAATTAGGCTAACCTTAATGTAAATTAGGTTGTTTTTTTTGTGTTAAAGGTTTATACTTTATGATAGAACTTTATTAACTTTTATTAGAATTAGTTATTATAACTATTTTATATAAAAATAAGATAGTAAAGTGTTCAGGTTGTCAACTTTCAAGTGACAGGTTTAGAGTTTAAATTCTAATGTTGGTTAAAATTTGAAATTCTTTTTGTGTTATAGTTAACTGTTTTTCACTATTGGTTAGGATTAGATACCTGTTACTTATATTATATCAGTTTGACTAAAAAATCATATATATTTATGCAATAGTTGTACTTTGTATAAAGAAACACAAACTAGTACCAGGTAGTATAAACCTGTAATAAGTTCTTGTAATCATATAAATCACAGAAATCAAGATAACAAAAGCTCACTTGAAAGACCTAAATAAAAAAATAGTTTGAACTTTCGATAATATTATTGTAAAGATTAGATCTATAAAACAGAATTAGAATTCATGAAATTAGACAAAGAATCAGTTTTTAGAAAGAGATTGAATGGAACTAGTCAGACCATTAGGATCCATTTAGAAAAAAGATTACATGTCAAAAAACATATAAATTAAAAATATAATTATGATCTATTTTTTTGAACTATTTAATTTGAAAGCTTGATAAAACTTGAATTAAATATTAAAATAGTAGAGATATATTATAAAATTAATATCAAGTTTGAGATAAATTCTATAAGAATATAGCAGTTTAATGATATGTCTTAACTGCAAATATTAATTTTAGTCATAGTGATACTAAATTAGTTGTAAGAATAAAATATAAAAAAATCTAAAAAATTTAATATAAGATTAAAGATTTTTTATATAAATAAACTAATTTAAAAACTTAATAATTATTTAGAAGCTTTGCAGACCTATGTTTAGAAGAAGAAAGAATCTCATGAAATGAAAGATAGCACAAGTTTACCTAATATCTAAAGATGATGAATAGGGATACAGTTTAAACAACATATAACCAATAGCATTAATAGAAACATTTAGAAAGGTTGTAACAAAGATGGTAACTAGAAGGCTTACCAAAGTGTTTACAGAAAAAGAAATAATCAAAGAACTAAATTATGCAGACTTTCTAGTCAATTCAACAGAACAACTAATACATATTCTCAATATAATAATGAAAGAAGCAAAAGATAAGGGTAAAGAAATATGGATACTCTTACAAGATATGAAAAAAGCATTTGACTTAGTTCTACTTGAGAGTCTAGAATTAGCACTGTGTAAGGTTAAAATACCTAAAAGAACAATAAAATACATCTTGGATCTGTTTTATAAAAGGCAACTAAAAATTATTACAGTTCATAGTTTAACAGAAAAGATAATAGCAGAAGATGGCATAGATCAAGGAGAAGTAATATCTCCATTAATATGGAGACTATTTTATGATCTACTACTAGAAAGAATACAAGAAGATAAAAATTTAGAATACACAGTAGAACAACAGGTCAAAAGAGGAATGCAATGCAACAATATCATGAAATACCATCAAGCAGCTATAGCATATGCAGATGACACAATGCAAATTGTAAATAATAAAAAACAGCTAATGAAAATATTAAAAACAGCAGAAGAATTTTATAAAATAAATGATATAGAGATAAATGGATTCAATTCAAAGCTATTAATAATAAGTACAAAAATAAAAAAAAAAAAAAAAAAAATAACCTTTGGAGAAAGCAAAATAACAGAAGAAGTAAAAAACAAGATAATTCACTCACTAGAGATATGGCTGAATAATAGAATAAGTAAAGTGTTAATTAAAAAGAGAGTTAAAGTAATAATCAACCAAACAATAAGAGACTTTAGATACAAAAAGATGATAACAAGTCAGATTGCATATATAAACAATATAGTAATAATACCAAAACTAAGTTATATGCTACAACTAACAAAAATGTCCGAAAGAAGTATAAGTGAAATACATCAACCAATAATAAGTTTGGTGAAGCAAAAGAGCAACTTACAAAGAACATTAGAAAACTGCGTAATAGAACACAAAGATCTTGGAAGCTGCAAAATATTACAACAAGAGTTAATAACAAAACAAATAAGTGGCCTATTAGCAAGACTAAACAGACAAGATAGTCTTGGTTAGTTAATAAAATTAAAAATAACACAAAGATGCCAAAGAGCAGGTTTAATAGAAGATATATGGAAAATAAAAGAGTTGCCAGAAAA